GGACTCTATACATGAATCCTAAGAAGCTCTATCCCAGCTCTACGACTTGACACATGATGATCCTAAGGATACTGGAACTAGAGCTCTCATACCAACTGCGACGCCCCTAGGTTCACACAAGGCTGCAGTCCGAGGTGAAACCAGGAATGTCAAACGTGCCATGCACCACATCGTATAATAACATATTTCACCATCATAATTACTATCTCTCTAGTAGAGTTAACAACAGGTGTAGGTACAAAAGCAAGTAAAAGATAATACAAGAGATATTTGATGAAATAATATAGATAAAAATGATATTTCATCATCCAACATACAAAAATATAAAGTGAATCGCTGAAATAACTAGTCCGTAGGTCTTAACAAGCCTCAAATACAGAATATCTGATAAAAAGAAATAAGGCACACAGCCTTTACAACTTCTAGAACATAACTCTCAAATGTCTAAACAAAATGTCTACAGTGGAGCTCCATAAATAAAATAAAACTACAAATGAAAGATGGACTCTAATAAGTATCTGTTAGACCCTAGATGGGGGTGATTAGGGTCTTAAACTATTCTAATCTGATTTTATGCCAATTAAAACTAATACAAATATATTCTTACAAGATAGATATACAAGAGTTATAAGCAAGAATAAACAATATGAATAAAGAGATATATCCTAGCAAAGAGATAATATATGCAAGGATATATAAACTAACACAAGGGTGAAATAAACATAAACAAGATAAGAGTGATAGTGTAAATAAACAATGCAAACACACAATATGATCACGGAGTTCGGACCTTCCGTCCTTCGTCTCTGTTCCCCATTCCCGGGGAGAAATCCACTATCACAACCGGGTTTTCTATGCTCACCCGAATAATGTCCTCACAGTATCGGTTTTCAACGGTCACCGATCAACGTCTACACTCCACACATCACAATACGGTTTTCTAGCTAACCGAAAACTCTACAACACTCTCAAATAACAATAAATGATTTGTTCTCTAATACAAGGCGAGAACTCAATTAAAGCACACACTCAATTGTTATAACTCTCACCAACCCAAATATACTATATATGAAAATACAATAATCTCAAGTGGGTGTGTGTAAACAATGAGTGAAATAAGATCTAACTCAATTAGCAAACTAGCAATAATAAGAATATGAAAATCAATAATAAAATTGCTAGAGAAAAGAGTTAGAAAAACTACTCTATAAACACAAAGGAGAGGATGAAGAAGATTGATGATGAACCCCTCAATTGACAACGCAAGCTTCCTCCTTTGTAAACAAAAACCCCAAACTTAAAACAAACTAAATAAACTTTTATCTCTTTTAAAATTTGTTTAAAACTCTCTCTTGGTTTTTTAATAAAAGATGAGAGCAATGGGGTATTTATAGCCTCCCAAAACCTCAGCTAAAAACCTAACAGAAAAGACCAAAAAGCCTAAGAATCAGAAATCTGATTTTGTACTAAAACTAGCCGTTGGGCGATCGACGGTCGACCGTGAAAAACTCGCGGTCGGCAACTAAAAGGCAAAACTGGGCTCTGGAGAAACAGACGGTCGACCGTGAAATTCTCTGGACTTCATCCGGTCGACCGTCACAGTCGACCGCGAGTCGCCAAAACATATACTGAGTGTCTGGACTTAGGGGCGGTCTACTGTGGCGGTCGACCGCAAACAGATATATGAAAATGACAAGTTTGAAATAGTTTTCTGATTTTAAAACACTGTTTAAAAATATTAAATAAATTCTAAAAAATATAAAACTTTGAGAAATGATTGTAGACATGATAATATTTTGCAAAATATCATTACAAAATATCATTATTTTGCAAAATAGTCCAAAACATGAAAATGTGAACACATGAGTTTTGACATTTTAGCTATTTTGCAAAATAGTCCAAAACATGAAAATGTGAACACATGAGTTTTGACATTTTAGCTTAACCATATTTTGAAAGTGAACACATGAGTTTTGACATTTTAGCTTAACCATATTTTGAAACATTACAAAATAATTTTATAGACTTGAAAAAAGATATAAACTATTGTTACGAAGTCCATAAACAATGAATATAGTATTTTATCAAAATACACATAATGCACTAAAACATGATTTCATTGAACTATATAAAATTGATATTGATGAAATTATATATATGCATATAAGTATGAAACAAAAATATATTTTCTAATTGTATTCAATTGTTTCATATTAAAACTTGAAAACTATCAAATCAAAACATATATGTATATATAAAACTATATATATACAAAACCATATGTGTGTATATGATTGAGCTTAAAGTACTAACACATATAATATAAAACCTAAACGAAATATACCGAAGCTTGATCTTGATCTTCGATGTAACTCAACTTGGTACACTTACGAATGAAGCTTGAACTTGAATCTTCAATTTGAATTGCATAGGCTTCACTCCACAATTCTGTCAACCTCCATTGGATATGATCGTGAATGCGTAATTTCATCCATCCTCCAACTTGTTGTTTGTCTATAATAAATAAATAAACACAAATACTAGACAAACAACATTAGTGGTAAATTGTTTGTTAAACATCATCAAAACAAAGAGACCAATAGCATCGCCATCAATCTGTGACTCTCCGTGCACCTGGCTCGTTACCTGAAATGGGAGGGGATAACGAGTGTCAAAGCGCTAGCGAGTAACATCACAACCAACCCCAAGGGAGAGGGCTCGTTACATATAGAAAATACAGTTAATACATATATACATGAAATCATTGATCCTAACAATAAGAGGATTTTAGTATTTAGGATATTACAACACGAGCATAGGTACGTCAAGTGAAATAATCCAAACAAGGAAACCCTCATGTATATACCTTGTATCTCAAATTGTAAATTCCTAAATACCAAACCCAATATCTAATACAGGAATAATAATATAAAGAAGACTAACCCATCTCAGAACTCAAATACCATGTCATGTCAAAACTCACATAAATGTCATGTCCAGCCTATGTGAGTGTAAGTGTCATACTCAAGGTTTAAACAGGTGTCCAACACATGGACTAAGACTAGGTGTAGTGGATGCCCAACACATGGACTGCATATATAAATTGTCCAACACATGAACTGAATGATGAATGTCCAACACATGAACTGAATATAATGAATGTCCAACATATGGACTGAATATGATGAATGTCTAACACATGGACTGCACATAATAATTGCCCAATACATGGACTGAATGAAATGTGTAGAATATCGATGAGATATATGAAAAGTATGCATATACACTAATTTCACACATGTCTCAGTGTGCAAATCTAAACTCATGTCCGCAAGTCATCTCACATATGAAGATACATAATAAACAATAATTTCTAATGCCAAATATTCTTGGTGACTCTTCGTTCACATTAAAGCACACAATAAAAGTAAACATGCACAAACTGTGCCGGCGATCAACCGAAACAGGTAGAAACCCTTCACAGGTTTCTGTCTGCTTCGAAACAAATCTAGAAGTGACATCATTATTTTTCAAGCATAATATTACTGATATCAACATATATGAAATAACATGAAATGAAATATTAGCATGTAAATATATCGTCGAAACCCTAAACATTTATATACACATGTTTAAACGTTTTAAAAGCCAAAAAACTTATGATTTAATTCATGATTAATAAATTATAGATCTGAAATTTGTCAAGGTTACTGTTGTAATCAATTAGAAAATTATGATAATATATTCTCACTTCATAAGTTATAAAGATCTATCTTTTGTACACTAAAAATACGTTTTAGGCTCGAAAAATCTGGATAAAACTTAATAAAACATGCAAAATAAAAGGGTACAGAGTTGAACGAGATGTTACTCGCCTCAGATGCTGAAAAACTCCTACCATGTGAGAGAGAACCAATCCCCTTCGTTGCACCGCACAAAACCTGCTGAAAAATCCTCCGAAATCCCTCAAAATCACCAAAGAAAAGAACTAGGGTTTGAGAGAGGGGAAAGTGGGCTACTAGGGTTTGGAACATAGGAGAAAAGATGTATTTTTCATGTTTAAATATGTGTATATATAACAGCAAACCCGAAAAACTACAGCCCAAAACCCGAAACTGGAAAACCTAGTCTGACTAAAAACATACTCTTCAGTATTTTGGCTGTAACTTTCGTATCTGACCTCGGAATGAGGTAATTAAAGATTTTTTGGAAAGATGCTAAAGATATCTACAACTTTGGTCTTTTAAGTTTTTCTATATTCATAACATATCAGTATGTAAAATATAAAATCTCTCCACTGGTCATAAATTTCCAGATTTATACATCGAGCATGATTTGTGCATTTGCTCTTATATATATATATATATATTATATATATATAATATATATAAATATATAATATGTATATATATATATATATATATATATTATAGATATCTATATATATATATATATATATGAGATTAATGGAGAGGTCATTGACAGTAGGAGGGAGTTTCCTCCTATGGCGCCTTGCAGTGGCAGATCGGTCAGCGCACTGCATCCGTTTTTAATGGGGTTTTAATCAATTTCTGATGTTTATTTTGCCACAAAACCCTTGCTTTGAGATCTGCGTGGCACAGCCCATCAAGAGCCTGTCGAGAAACCCAACCCCCACCCTCCCGTGAGCGCTCCTCTCTCTCTCTCCCTCTCCCCCCAATTCCACCGCCATTAACACTTTCGTCCTTCCCTCGCCTCTCGACAACGCCTCCTCTCCCGTCGAATCAGCCCCCTCCTCCTCCCGCCTCCCGCCCAAACCGCCTTCGTCTCTCCCACCGCCTTCTCGCACGACAACGCCTGCCTTACTCCCGTCGACAGCCCCCTCCTCCTCGCGCCCTTCCGCAAACCCATTTTCGTTCCTCCCCCGCTCTCGACGACGAACGCCTCCTCTGGGCTCTCTTCTCCCCCCAAATTTCCACCGCCATCACCACCGCGAAACACCCTCGCGATTTACTCCCGCTCTCGACGCCGTGATCACCTCAGAACTCCTCCCGCCTCCCGCTGTCTACGCCTCTCCCTCCCGCCTCCCGCTGTCTATGCCTCTCCCGCTGTCTACTCCTCCCGCCGTGATTCCTCCCTCCTCCTCCCGCCTCTCGCTGTCTACGCCTCTCCCTCCCGCCTCCTCCCGCCTCCCGCTGTCGACGCCAGCATCGACGCCAAGATAAGGTAAAGTCTGATTATCTTTTTTTTTAATCTTTCAGGAGTTTGAAGGTGAGTAAAGATCATGCTTGTGAATGGCTGATATGGTTTCTAATTGAGGTAAAGTCTGATTATCTTTTTTTCAATCTTTTTTTCTCAGTACCTTTTGCATTGTGTGTGCGATTTAGAATGTGTTCAGACTGAGACTTAGAAATTGTTTCATGAGTACAGAAATACTATTGAAAGTTGATGTTTGATTTACACACAAATGGAGATATTAGGATGTTCTTATGGTTGTAGCTGCTAATTTCCATCCCCTGGATTGAATTGTGTATATGCTCAAATCACTTTCGTTCACAGGTTACATTCTGTATAGATTTCGGCTCTCTGAAATTTTGTTACGGTTTTGTGCATATTGCATTTTGCTTAGTGTCCTGATACTAATGTTTCTGAATCCTGAGCAAGAAGTCAGCTACTTCAATTCAATATCACTTCTTGGACTTTTTGTATTGAAGAGATATACAAAATGCAAATTGGATGTGAGCACATGATAGGACTTCTCTTATGGTTGTAGCTTGAAATTTCTATTCCCTTGATTGAATTGTGTATCCATTCTTCATTCTAAATAAGAAGCTAGCTACTTCAATTGAATAAGAGCAAATATATGTACTAGGCAGGCATAAAGCAGTGAGTACTGGTTACTCACAAATATAATATTAAAGTACAAGAAGCCCCCTTCATATATACCTAGTTTTTCAAATAAAAATATAAAACACATAGAAATGTGGCAATCCATATTCAGATGTGAAGTGCAATATACATTAGACTTGAATATACTTATGGCATTTTTTAATATACTTTAGACTTGAATATACTTTATAAAACACAATTTTTCAGGTTATCCATGGCAAGAAAGAGTTTCTATATTGTGAAGAGAGGTCGACGATGTGGCATTTTCGATAATTGCGAACATTTTGATTTGGGAAAGAGATATGGACCCAGTTTAACTTCACAGGCAAACAGGAACATTTTGATTTGGGAATCTAGGCTGCATGTTGGCAGAGTGAAGAAAGGATTGCTCTGCCTGAAAAGTGGTTTCTGCATTTCATTCCTATTTTGGTTTTCTGTATTTGTACATGCTGGAGAGAATCATTGTTGTATGTTTCAGGTTCTCCCCGGAGTTGTATGTTGTCCTTGTTGTAATTCATTTCTTTATATGCGTTGATACGTTTTCTTCATTTCTACTTATCAGATCAAAAGAATTAGACGGCTTAAAAGTGCAAGAAAAACGTCTTTACCTGCTTTAGTTCTGAATTAATGGTCTACGTGTGTTGGGTAATGGTTCCGTTATGCGTCTGGTCTTAAATGAAAGCAAAAAAGCATCTGCTTACCTGTATATTTTAACAAGAATTTTTTAGGTGACTCAACTCATTGATCATCAACCAAGCTGCTATCCTCGTGTTTGCTGCTGATGTTACGTTCAAAAGGAGGACTCAACTCATTTACCAAACCATTCATTCATACTACATCACATGAATCTAAAACTGCCGTGTACTGACAAGAATCAAATCAAGTGAATATATTGAATCTGAAAGCAAAAGAAGCCTGATTAATACTACATCACATGAATCAAATCCAAACCATTCATTCATACTACATCACATGAATCTAAAACTGCCGTGTACTGACAAGAATGAACCAACTTTTTTTGCCAACTCAAATGTCATCACATGTTAAAGCCAGACTTTCATCAAAACACCACATCACAAACTACCACACCAAGAATTACAAACATCAACAAATGTAGCAGAGAACTCAGAATGAGGCACTAATGGAATTTTTAACATAAACAAGCTCAGTGCCAGTGATCCAAGTCCAAGTTCATGATCAACATAAACAAGCTAGACTTAACTATTCATGTCAGTTAAAATCTCAAGTTCTTAAAGCCAGACTTTCATCAAAACACCACATCACAAACTACCACACCAAGAGTTACAAGTTCAAGCATGAAATATGAAAGCAACTATATAAAAACCATCAAAAAATGATCCAAGTTAATGAACAAAACAGGCCTCCAGCTCATGGTGCCTTGTGATGCCTTGTGATCTCCTGGTCTTTAAGCACAGGCCTCCAGCTCATGGTGCTTTGTGATCTCCAACTTGCTCATGGTGCCTCGTGATCTCCAATTAACTGCAAATGTATAAGAGACATGTAATGGCTTCTGAATAGAGACTACAGTTTAAACAAAATAGAAGAATATGGAAAATGCAGCATGTTAGAGCTAAGGACAACTGTCATTTGAAGAGAGGAATGAGAACAAATACTTATAACTTACGAAAATGCAGCCAAAAATACAACCAAAATGCTCCAACAACATGGGGAAACTACAGCCAAAATGCTCCTAAAATGCTCCGAAAATGCTCCAAAGTGCTGTTACTTTTTCTATTCATGGAAAACATTCATAAGTTGTGCACAAAAAAAATTCAATTGAACGGCAAATAAATATTACAAGATGAATTCTCAAGTAACTTACCAACTTCGGGCAACCGGTCTTATAGTGACCCAATTGTTGACAATTCCCACATTTTCGATGTTTTACATCCTTTTTCGATTGTGACTCTTCAATTCCTGACTCGTACCTGCTAGCACCTCTTGGACGACCCTTTGTTTTGACTGGGCCACTAGGATCACGAATTAAAATTTCTTCACCATCTCTCAATACTACATTTGCATTAACTAATTTGGCTTTCAATTTGAGAGTTTGCAATATGAATGTCATTAAGCTTTACTTCCTTCTCAACTGATACAGTGATATCTTGTAGCATTCTCTCCAACATAGAAATGGCATTTGCTGAACATGATGCCATCTCAAGGGTAGCATTGAATCTGGCTCGAATTGCCCACAATCTAATAATATCGCACTGCTTCATGCTACCTTCATTGCTTCTTACATCCATATCATTAAAAAAATCTAATGTTTTTGTGCCTTGCATCAATTTTCCACCTTTGCAATATATAATTATCAGGAATAGCTGTCAACTGAAGAAGCCATATGATATGCAATATATGCCTACAAAGGATCCCATCGGTTTCAAAAAGTGCACAAGAGCATTTGAACTTAAGCTCTCTAGATTTGTCATATGTAACTTCTTCCCATTTCTCTCTTTCTTCAGAAAAATCACCAACTAGATAAATTATTTTTGTCTCCTCCTTTAGCATTTCTTCATGAAAAAGTGATAACCCATTAGTAAGCTCATCTTGGAACATTTTGAAGATCCCCCTAGTATATAACTTGCTAACTTGCACTTCAATTGGATGTCGAAGCAACATTGCAGGCACAATATTCAATGTCATAAAGTCTTCTCGAGATTCAGATGCACGGCGATTTGCTAAGGCTTTGTCATATTGGCATACAAAGTCCACAAGCCTAGTCTTTGTATTTACATAACCATCAAAAAATGCATTGATACTTTCACTCCTCTGACTAGTTGTCATTCCTGCCCAAAATATATCTTTCAAATATGCATCTACCCAGTGTGCACGCAATCTGTACATCCTCGTCAACCAACTATCTACACTCTCATCTATATTAAATTTCTCCTTCATAATCTTCCAACGTTCCTCACAATTGTGAATAGTGCTAGCTCGGTACCACTTATCAAAATATGTAGAAATCTCATCTCCATATTGTGCTTTCATTGGAAGTTGCTGCTCGGCAATATGTCTACAATTGCCAAGAACAAAACGGTGCGGGTGTATACGAAAAACTGTTATAGCTCCTCCTATTGGCATCTTAACAGAATATTCGCTTTTGGCAACCCATGCAGCATTTTAGACATTAGTGAACAACCAATAAAGGAATCCTCCGCAATCTCAAGTAACCACACCAAAGAGAATAACTGCCGATGATATACACCTGTAATGTGCAACGTAAGACAATTATTCGTTTTATATGTACTCGAAACCACTACTTCCAAAACTTAATAAAAGATCTTGATTCCCATCAGCCAAAACAGCTCCTCTAGCCCGACTGCTTCACTCATGAAAATAATTCTGATCGATCCTTCCTATCTAGAAAATTCTTAATGACTGAATATTCATCTTCCAATTTTTCTTCCTAAAGTTCTATGTGATCAATACATCGTTGCAGTAAATATTCTTCATCATACTCTTAGACACAACATAACCTCGACGCAACTAGTAGATCTTCACTCAAATTCTCAATAATTCTCTTGCAAGTCTTCGAGCGATGCCTTTGCCTGTGGGAATAATGATTCAACACTTTATCAGGGCTCAATAATAGATGGGTTGGGTGCTCTGCCTCAAACTTCGTGACAATCCATGTCTTAGAGGAAGTCAACTTAATCTTCATTCTTGCGGGATAATCCACTCTAGTATCTGGACGGCGATTGACAAGTTTCCCACAATCTCTCTTATCTGATAACCTTTTTCTCCCTGCCTTGTTACAAACAAAAACTTGAGAAATAATTTCTCTTGTCTTTCTTGACTTATCAGTAGTTTCCTTACGGATTCCAAAACCCATTTTATCGCCTGTTTCCTTGCGGATTCCAAAGCCCATTTTTTTTGCATAAGAATTGTAATAGTTGTATGCCTCCTCCAATGTAGCAAATTCTTTTCCTTCGTATGGCGCCTCTCCTATGAAAGTCATCTCATTCGGGCCTACAAGAGCTATAGGCAATTCACCACCAACATCCATGAGATTTTTGGTATCATTTTCACTTAGTCCAATGGGTAGCACATCATCTGTTTCAACATTCATTGTCCTCTCATCGCCCTGAAACAATTATCAATGTGTTACAAACGTTGAGAAATTATATACTAATGATGCAAGTTTATAACCACACTGCAGTAAAATTGTTTCCAGGATTCGAAAGTATTAGAGTATTTATTTATTTACAGCCTATGGCACAACTAATTAGATCCACCGCTTGAAATTTCTTATCAATGACATGATAATTTTGGGTAATTACGAACAACAAAGAAAAATTATACCTGGATCTACAGAATTCTTACTGACGCATGGAACTGCTTATGAGAATGTAAACCTAATAAAACTAGCACGTGTAGAAAAGGAACATTATCATATTAATGAGTACGGAATATTAAATGACAATAGCAACAAAACCAGTGTACAACATATTTTGAGGACAACAGAAACTGTCTGCACATATTCTTTTCCCCCTCAGAAACTGTCCGCAATTAGCATAATAACCCAGAAAAGCATTAGCATAATAACGCAATTAGCATAAAAATTCAAGTCATCCCCAATTCACAGCAGAATTGAAATCTTAACAGGTTTTGTCGAGACTGTACCAAAAATACCTGCGTCGACGTCGGATGCGAGAGAGGAAGAAGTGATGGGCCTTCGACGGGGGAGATCGGCGTCGGCGTCGGCGTCGACATAGGGAGGAGGGAGGGTGTTGGTCTTGACAGCGCCATAGGTGGAAGGGGGGCGTCGAGCACATCATCTGTTTCAACATTCACGGCGCTGCCATCGCCCTGAAACAATTATCAATGTGTTACAAATGTCGAGAAATTATATACTAATGATGCAATGTTATAACCACACTGCAGTTAAAATTGTTTTCCAGGATTCGAAAGTATTAGAGTATTTATTTATTTACAGCCTATGGCACAAAACTAATTAGATCCACCGCTTGAAATTTCTTATCAATGACATGATAATTTTGGGTAATTACGAACAACAAAGAAAAATTATACCTGGATCTACAGAATTCTTACTGACGCATGGAACTGCTTATGAGAATGTAAACCTAATAAAACTAGCACGTGTAGAAAGGAACATTATCATATTAATGAGAGTACGGAATATTAAATGACAATAGCCAACAAAACCAGTGTACAACATATTTTGAGGACAACAGAAACTGTCTGCACATATTCTTTTTCCCTCCAGAAACTGTCCGCAATTAGCATAATAACCCAGAAAAGCATTAGCATAATAACGCAATTAGCATAAAAATTCAAGTCATCCCCAATTCACAGCAGCAGAATTGAAATCTTAACAGTTTTCGAGACTGCTTACCAAAAATACCTGCGTCGACGTCGGATGCCGAGAGAGGAAGAAGTGATGGGCCTTCGACGGGGGAGATCGACGTCGGCGTCGACATAGGGAGGAGGGAGGGTGTTGGTCTTGACAGCGCCATAGGTGGAAGGGGGGCGCGCGTCGGTCTTGACAGCGAGAGGCGGAAGGGCGGCGTTGTCGTCGAGAGCGGGGGGAGGACGAAGTGGGTTTGGCGGGAGGCGGGAGGAGGAGGGGGCTGTCGAGCGGAGAAGGAGGCGTTGTCGTCGAGAGCGGGGGGCAGACGAAGTGGGTTTGGCGGGAGCGGGAGGAGGAGGGGGCTGATCGATGGGAGAAGGAGGCGTTGTCGAGAGCGGGGGAGGACGAAAGTGTTAATGGTGGTGGGAATTTTAGGGGGAGAGGGGGAGAGAGAGAGAGAGAGAGAGAGGAGCGCTCACGAGGGGGGGTTGGGTTTTTCGACAGCTCTTGATGAGCTGCGTCCACGCAGATCTTAAAGCAAGGGGTTTTTGCAAAATAACATCAGATATGATTAAACCCATTAAAAAACGCGATCAGTGGCTGAGATCTGGCCACATCAGCGCCATAGGAGGAAACTCCCTCCTATGTCAATGACCTCATTAATCTCTCTCTCTCTCTCTCTCTCTCTCTCTATATATATATATATATATATATATATATATAATTATATAATATATATATATATATATATATATATATATATATATATATATACATTGAATTGATCTCAAATCAATTCCTACATACTCAAACATCATAATATGTTATTTATAAATATATAACATATTTATTATTATTTATCACAAAATATTCAAATTTTTAGGGTTTTACATAGAAAAACAGTCGATACTAATATTGTAGGATGATAATCATTTCATACCAAAAATGACGTCAAAATCTAACATCCACAAAATGACCAGGTCAAAGATGAACTCAAACTTATCTATACTGATGACACATCTCCTACATATACTCTCTAACATGGACACCTCCCCTAGAGGAGTAGAAACTGATAACAGAATATCTAAGGGATGTGTAACTAACTGAAGCCTATAAATGAAGGCATGAAATATGAAAGAATACAAAGTTCCTGAATCAAACAAGATTCAAGCTGAATAAGAATTTAGTACGAAAACTCCGCTCGCACTATGCTCACGTGGTATGACTACATAAACTCTGCTGGTGGCCGACGCCTGCTGCGCTGCTGGTGGTGAAACACATGGGTCCATCTGACACTGATGAATACTTTGAATAACGCAATTCTGGCCTATAGGCCCCTAAATTCTCGAAATAACCGGTAGTACATCTATCCTCCGATGCTGGCAGTAACCGTGACCCTAAGACTATTGATCCTGACCTCTGTCATGCTGGTCTCCAGCTGGTGTACTATGACAATCCATCGCTCTATGTTTGATCTTGTTACAATTATATCATGTATCCCAAATCTTGTGCTGTTGCGTCGCTATCGAATCATGTTGTGCTCTCTTCTTATAACGTCTTTATTGCTGATGGTAAAAATCCTTACCCCGCTGCTGTGTCCTCTAGATTCCACAATAGGTCTCTTGCCCTTGTCATTTTTATCATGCAAGTCTTGATTTCATAATTAACTATAGGCATATCTCACTGCTTTAATCGAACTAGCTCTAACTGCTTGTCGAAGAAATAAACAAAAATTTTCCAAATAAATGATATTCATTGTCCCGGTAAAAATATGAAATCGTAGCTATCCTTTGCTGCTATTCCCCGGTGATGTCCTCTATGCTGAATATTTTTAACCTCTAGTTTGGTACCGAGTCTACGTTAAGAAATTTTCACATAATCCTTTTTATTTATAAGTTGCACATGAATCCAGTGTGCCCTACACTATGGCGTTCTCAGTGTCTGATATCTTTACTATTCTTACAGAGCCAAGCCTCCTGCTCTGTGGCTCTATCAACAGCTGGTTGTAGTGATGATGAAATTATAGGTATTGTCTCTTTAATAGGCATGACTGGTATAATTGGTGGTGCAACTCCAGAAAATGATACTACTGGCGAAAACGGATGCGCCTCTTGCTTCTCGAGTATTACAAAATCTTACTGCAAACAGTGCTATAAAGTCGATCAAATACTATAGAGTCTGCTGCGACTCGGGCTTTGCTTGTCCAGCTCTCTAGGTACGAGTTTTATCTCGACCGCATCCTCGTCCCAACATTTATAATATCAAGAGGAGAGCTTAATGAACGTATTCATAACATATAGTATTCACGCAAATACTTTAAATCAACATAAAATAATTATCATAAAAAAATTCTAAAATTTTGAGATATACGCACATATCGTCCTCACTCATTCTAGAAAATTCTTAGCGGACTCTATACATGACTCCTAAGAAACTCTATCCTAGCTTCACAGTTTGACACATGAATGATCTGAAGGATATTGGAACTAGAGCTCTGATACCAACTGTGATGCCCCAGGGTTCATACAAGGCTGCAGTCCAAGTTGAAACCCGGATTGTCAAACCTGTCAAGCACCAAACACCATGCTACGACATGTTTCACCATCACAGTCACTATCTCTCTAGTGGAATCAACAAATAGGTGATGGTATAAAACAGACAAATAATAGAAGTTGTACAAAATCAGATATGCACAGAAGAAATATATCAATAAATGAGCCCAACTGAAATAGAATGAAAATATCTCTGAGTCTGAAATACATCTCAATAC